TTTTTCAGTAGAATGAACTATGATGCAGAAGAGGAAAGGTTTAACTGAAATAAACTGGATTAACTTTTATGGTAACCAATTAGATAAGTGTATCAGGAAAACCTTCAAAATGTTGGGATGTGTTAGGCTAAGCATAATATTTCCAGAAAATGCATAAATCATTTTGCAAAGGTCATTTAAAACCAGGCTGACACAACAATAAAAATCTGTAGTACAGAACACCCCCACACTACTAGGAGATGGACTCAATTACACTGCAGGTCTTTTTCAATGTTTGGCTTCTATGACTCTTTATAGGATTGGGGCCCTGTAAAGGGAAGGAGAAAAAATGCTGGCTTATTACCTTTGTTGATTAACAGATCAATTTTCTCAAGCATTTAAGTACTTTATAGGCCTAGAAATTCTCTACTGTAGGTAGAGAATTACAGATTTCCCTGACAAGGTGTAGTTTATTACTGACATTCTGCAGTGGAGCAGAGATGACAGCACATGCCACTTCTATTTATTTGCCTTTCTCATGCTGGCTTTGGAAGATCGGGAAGGAGAGATGAAAATTCTTGCTGGGAATTGAAGGACTTGCAGGATGACAAGGAGATTACAGATTTAAGGATCTGTAAACCGGCAGGCATCAGTTCATTCCTCCCTGAATTGCAGCCACTTCTAGGTGAAACAGCAAAACTGATTACAAAACCCAGAGACACTTAAGATAGGAGGTGAGGAATGGTGTGTTATTGCTTAAGAGGGAATTGGAACAAAAAGTCAGGAATCACTCAGAAGCACTGTGCTGCAATGATGAATGAAAAGGTTTGCCTCTGGAACTTAGTCTCGCTCTGTGCCCTGTCACACTCAGGACATTCCCCTCTCTCACCATGAAGTCGGTCACTACTCATATACAAGGAAGCTCAGCTACTGCCAGATACACCCACTGGGACGTAGCAGCTATATAACTTCCAGGAGAGAGACAAATAAAGCTATCTCAGAGCTTGGAGCAGAAAGAAAAGACAGGCTGATCCAGTGGGATCAATCTATGATCTGTCACGAGCAGTTGCACAGCTGACCAGTGAGAGAGGGCACTGCTGGTGCAAGTCAGCAGGCAACTGCTGCCTCCTCCACCCACCTCTCCCTCTGTCTGCCCTTCATCCAGATCTACATAGGCTCCAAATTAATTTTACTATCTGGAATGATATTAACACAATCAAATTATGAAAGAAAAACTCATCTTGAGAGAAGGCAAAAAATCAGCTCCCTTCTCTGTCTCACAGCTGTCCCCTCCTCCTCACCATGTGTTCCTGAAACCTGGGGCTGTTCCAAGCACTAAATGCACTGGAAAGGGTATCCTTGGGCCAGCTGTGATCTGATCACGGCACATTGGCTGCGGGTGAATCAGAAACCAACTGATAGGCCCAGGAACAATGTGGCCCCTTGTTAGGCTCCGAGAACAACCATCGCCTTCAGCCTCTCCCAGCCAGTCTTCAGCAGAGCGGGATGCCAGGACAGCTTTTGTAACATGTTCTGCATGATCCTTTCCCACCAGCCCTGTGTTGAACTGCAGCTACTTTCTGGTTTGAATGACACGCTCCTTGTGTTGTGAGAGACTCTGGGTGGGGACTGTTGCAGTCTCTTTGGAAGTGGGTGCACAGCAAGTGACAGGCTGATACTAATATTTATGTGTGAGATGCCACGGGGCAGCCCTGGCAGCAGCACCTGGGACCATGGTTCCTCTGGAATCCCAAGGGCAGGAAACCACCAGGGAAGCTGCTTCTCATCAGCCTCATACAGATCCCAGGAACCAGATTTTATCTGGCCTCACAACTTTGCCGATGTTTTGTAGACTTTGTATGTTTATGACATTAAGTAAGCACTATGGAAATGAAGCAATGGCACAGAGCCAGAGCACTCTGTTTTTCTCAGCCCTTCTCACAGCTAGGCTGTTGCAATTCTCAGGAGCAGATGCTGCAGGAAGAGGGTTAGTGGTGGAAGAGGGCTCAGTCTTCTCCAAGGCAATATTCTGAGGGGGAACAGAGTGCTGTCTGGAGGGAGAATAAGCTGTGGCCTACACAGATTTGAGGCAGTCTACAAAACATTGCAGAGATATTTAACCCAAGTCTCACATCTAATAGTTCTTTGCATTTGTATTGAATTACTGTGCCAAAGCACCAACCAGGATTGCCCAATGTTTGGTGGTACAGCCCCATCTTCAGGGTAAATATGCTTTGCCAATCAATTCCCACTGCAATTTTATTAGACATAATTTCCTTGCTTCCTGCCCTAAACACTTGCCATGTTGTACCACAGCTGCATTTCAGTAGTGCACAAAGGATCCAAATACACTGGTTCTAGTGAATTTCAGTGTAAATATGGACCTGAAATTGGGATCCTTCCAATTAAAAAGTACTGCACTGGTGCAAGACATTACTAATTGTTGATAAATGAAAACTACAGATTTGTTCTGTGTCTTTTCCTAGTCCAAACTGCTTTATAAGCTAGGAGTACTACATACCCTATATGGGAGCTACTTACCATTACCAAAACAGTCATTTGCCTGGTGGGAAGCTCTTATGAGCATACCAGAACCAGCTCACAAAAGAAATAGAGCAGAAACTTAATTTTCCTGAAAATAAGTGTTGACTTGGATAGCTGTAATAAGTTTATAATCACATCCAAACTGTTTCTACAGCTGTTTTTCAAATTGTATATACTTTCCCACTCTCCTGACTTTTGGTGTGGAACTTCTGCATTTTGGGCCAAAACACCCCTGAATCTGGTCCTGATATTCCACTGTACTACAGCTAAACCAGAAATGAAATTTGTCTGTCTATATCAGACTTAAATAATTGAAATACACGGTAACATGTGTACAGAGATTAAATCTTTTATGAAATATGTAAGTCAGCAAGAACCATATATTGAGCCATCACAACAATGAATATGGGGTACAGCAACTGAATATAAAGCCAGCAAAAATTTAACATGAGTAACTTTTACTAAATATTAATCTGTATTCTACAAAGAAAACTATAAGAATTTTCTTGATACATTGAGCTCAATAAATTTGTTTTGAATAGATGTCTGTGAGTGTGACAGAGAGAGAATTAGTCTGGAATGCTATAAGGATGTCAGCCAAGCTCCCAGCATCTGGAAAGCAGAAAGCAGAACTATATTTAGTGCACAATGACTTGCAATAATCTGGGGAGGGAGCAGAGAGGAACAAAAAAGAACAAGAGAAAAGAACAAAACTTAAGATGGCAGTTTTGGACAATTAATTATAAAGAAAAAAGAACAATGAGGCTGGAAGAAGGATAAATGAAACCCTGGGGTATATGTTATTATAAGAGTTTCTACAAGCAGAAATGTTGTATAGAGTTAGCAGACATATTTATAAACATGCTATAGATAATGCATACTTCAGTATAAATACCACCTCTAAGAATTTCTGGCACAGAACAACTAGGGCACTGACCTCTGCTGTACATTCATTTCCTTTATGTGGCTGAAATGTCCTAAATATATTCCTTAGTTAGGCATGGGAAACTTTTTCCATATGGTAACTGCATCTGCAAGAGTACTCTGCAATATAACTGCACTCGGTTATGAATGTGTTATGAACTCTTTGCAAAGCATGTAGAGGTTACTGTGTGTTCCCCTACACCTACCTGTGAACAGAACAAGCACCAAGCAAAAGGCTGACTTTCACTACTGCTGTACATTTAAAACACAAATGGTGTAACTCTTCCTAAGTTCCTTATTGCTATAATAAAAACAAGGTACTGAACAGTCACATTCACCTTCTATCACTTACATAGTTTTTGTTTTATCCCTCGCTTGACTTAAACATTCCATACACGAACACTTCAGTGTCACTCATTTCCTGGCACTTTCTCAGACCTGAGATGCCAGGATTCCAGAGCCTCCACCTTCAGCACTTTAAAGGAAATCTCAAATAACAAACATAACCTGTTAAAACTGAGGCACACATCTCAGGCACACTGATGCTGTTTAAAGGACAACTAAGATGAAAGTAAACAGTATTACTGACAAAACAGTAAAAATATGATTATATTCATAAATGTCAAAGTATTTTCTGGTGTTCAAACTAATCTAGTTTACAGCTTCTAGGAAGCAATATGCTGTCAAAAGATGATGTGTGGCCAAGAAAGACACCTGAAGTGTTGAGCAGAAGAGAGAGCAGAAAGTGCTACCTCTGCACAGGTAGCAACTCCCTAAGCTTGGTGAAAGACACCAGAGATCTGGGGCCTGTGAGCTGGGAGGAGAAGCTGGGTCTTGCCTGTAGTGCCAGGCAGTGAGCAGAATATTGCCTTTGAAGCACAGACCAGAGCAGCAATGAGCAGAATATTGCCTTTGAAGCAGATCAGACATTTTGAGAAGAAGCAAGGAGTGCTTCTGTGATTTGGTTGCTTTAGCCATCACACTATACTTCACTTGTATTTACAAATAACAGCCAAAAAAAGAAAAAAATTACTTCTTTCTGTAATAAGCAGTTTGGGAGAAAGTCAAAAACCAGAAGCCATTTTCCATCTGGCTTCGAGATCAGTTAATATTTGTAGGGACCTGTATAGCCTCTTATTTGTAAATTTCAAGTTGTGTCACTCTCTAAATTAGCGCTCTCATGTGCCTCTGTATAGGTTAAAGTCTGTTTTTGAGATGTAATCTTGCTGGTTCTCCATGTATTAGACAGCTGTATTACTTTTATGTCCTTAAGGACAAAAGGAGAGACCTTGTTCTTCGTTGTACTAAATACGTAGTTTCTAGACTAGACTCTGCTAATTAATGTACCAGCATTTGTGATACATGTGCATATGAACTGGAGCTAGACCAAACCTACCCACTGCAGAGCTGTAACTGAGATACCTATTCTGCACCGTCTCACGTGCACTTCACCAGTCATTCACCAGTCATACCATATACATGCATAATTTAAAACAACGAAAAATTTTTCAATACAGTACAAGTGATGACATCAGCATTGTATCTCTTTTTAGATCCACAGATATCCAGCAACAGAAAGGATGGGCAGTAGGTACCTTTACTACCTTGGAAGCAGTGTGGAAACAGGGCAATATAAGAGATTCACAAAACAAGGAGACAAGGATGCCAAATAAAAGGAGGTAAGGATTGAGATAACTACAGAGAAACTGTAGCAATGCCCATAATACTGTCTGCAAGAGCAATGTCAGAAACAGTAATGTAAATGATTGTATCAGTCCTTCAGTTGATATAGGAACCAGGGAAATAAGGACACTTAACTGGACGATGCAGACACTGGAGCACAGCTCTGTGATGGGACCTGACTTCTACTAGGTGAGATCACAGTGCCTGAGGAAAAAGACAAGAAAGCACTGCTGCTCTTTCAGATATGACATGGAGCTTTCTTTTTCTCACACTGCCCTCAAGCAGACCACTCATACATGTCCTGTTTTCAATGAAAAACACATGTTTGAAATTTTATAAATGAAAGCTGCTAAAGAAAACTGCTATTATGAGTAGATTTTGATACATGTTTTACATTCTTTGGGGTCTGAGATCCCATTTGAATCAGAACTGCTGTCTGCAAACACCCTGCTGAAGTCAGCAGAAGATGAGGATTTACTGTAATCACTACAGCACTGGGCAGTGAGCTAGGTTCATTCCTGAACAGTTTCCTAAGAGATGTTAACAGCCTCAGCTGGGTGCTCTTTGTAGTTCTGGCAGAGGTCAGCTCTGTCTCTAAGCACAAATCAAAAAAGTAAATCTAGTCTAAACAATTCTCTGTACTGTTCCAGAAGCAATTAAAGGCACTTTGCTTTGTGTATTTCCCACAGGTGTGAGCAGACACTTCCCACAGACAGTTTGCACAGCAAAAACTCAAAAAGCATAAACTCTTTACAGAGGAAAAGGCAAAGAACCCTCCTGTTTTACATATGTAAGTCTGAACTGGACAAAACAATCCAGGATTAGCTTATCCACACACTGCCCATGACCTGTACGTGGATAAAAGTAATGGTAAAACAATTCCAGTTCAACTCTTCTAACTCCATCAGGCTCTTTATTAGTAAGATTAATACACATATATGAGGTATTCACTTCTCAATTTGGTATTATTTGGCTAGGAATGAAAATGTAATGTGGTCTGTCAGCATGTCACCTACATTCATGACAGAGATACTAGCACTCCTGGAGCTAAAACCATCAATCATCCATGAGTTTTATAAAATCAGCAATGATGCAAAAACTGTAGAAACGAGTACAAAGTTAGCTCTCACTTATTTTAAAATTACTAATTATAAATATTTAAATTATTATATAACACTTTGTTAAAGTGCATTTGGCTGTTTCTTTGTTCATGATTCTCAAAAAAATTGAACCATAAATGCAATTACTAATAAGTATTCACATAATATTAGGTACACTCACTATACGTAAAAACTCCCGCTGGTTTTGCTAAAAGCCAGGACCAGCAGTCCTAGGAATTCAACACACTGAATCTCCTGTGTATTATCACTGGCCTATTGTTAGTTTTTCAGAACAGAAATCTACCCTAGCATCATGATAGAAGGGATGAAACATGAGCAGCTCATGGAGTCAATATTTTTACATTTATTCTCTTATATTCCTTTTTTAAAAATCATAATTGACACATTCACACATGGGGTACCTCTCCAGCCTTGGTGCAGCACAAGTCCCTCCACAGCTTTTATTCATGGCTGTGGCAGTGAATAAAAGAAACAAACTGATTTAGGGGTAGTTTGATTAGACAAAAACCATTTAAACCCCTAATGTTCCCAGATGTGGCTCACATCCTGATCACACAGAGGTATGATCACAGCTTACAAAGCAAAGTGCACAGGCAGAGGGGCAGGCAGGCAGCAGTAACTGTAAGGGTAAAGCATGCTGGAAATGTAACCTGAAATCCTGCCCTCAGCCTGTGGCCACAAACTTTATCCCTGCTTATCCTGGCATAAGTGCCTTCTAACTGCAGAACATTCCCTGAAACCAACTCCCAAAGCATGCACTCATGGTATTGACAGTGAGTGGCAGAAAGCAGGAGTGGAGTGCCCTTACTCTGGCATAGCTGACACCGTCTGCAGGCCAGGAAGCAAACCCGCTATTGTTAGGGGATGCCAGTAGCTTGTGCTGGCACCAGATGGGATTTTGCTGCAGCCTTGCAGATTTCTGCTTCTGGTTTCTGAGCAGTGCCAAACACTGCTTGTCCCAGTCTGCCCTTGAATGGAAGACCTTTTCACCAGTGGTGCATCTCCACCCATTGCTAATTTTCACCAGCAGCAGCCAGAGGGATTCCTACTATGCAGAAGACGTAGATGCATTAAAAAAGGATTAAAAAAAGGACAGTACTTTTATCTTGCACAGATAACGTATTTTTTTTACTGTTATTTGACACTGTTGATCACTACCAGCCCGAAAGGACCAAAAGCACAGGCAGGAGCTACACCTTTGTTGTGAAATAGCAGGAGCAGAACTGTGAGGAGGAAGTTTACAGTGTACCTGGGAGTGTTATGGCTGCATGGAGCTGGCACTCCCAATGTTTCACTTTTCTGCCCATGAGACATGTCTAAATATCTTGAGAAAACAAGAAACAGAACAATAGGTGACTATAGTGTGAATTATAAAAGTCTGGCTTCCCTGTTGGAACGTGACTGCTGCTCTTAAACTGCCCCAGCTGTGCTTTCACCATCGAGGATGTCAACACAACTCCTCCACGGAATCACTGCCTTGTGTTCCCTCTTGGGACATCTACAGCACCCTTTTATAGACTGTATTTTAAGACAGGTTTCTGAGCCAGAAGGTCAGCACTGCTGCCTCTATACTCCAGAAATATAGGTTTGCTATGATACTATACCAGCAACAGCTAAAAACCCCAACAAACCAGCCCAAGATGAAAATAATACTGCATCTGGAATGCACTGAGTTGTCAGTAGTATAGTGTTTTGTTCCTAGCAGGAACAGGTAGAGCAGACATTAGAACTATTCACTGACACATCCTGAGGGATTCTCTGGTAGAGCAAAAAGTTTTCTAAATATATGACAGACTGTGTGCCTCTATGAGCTGATTCAGAGGCAAGGGCCAAATGAGGCTTGGCTGAAACTACATGGATTTTAGGCAGCTCCCCTAAAATGAATGTGTCCCTACGACGAATGCAGTTTTTCTTTCACTACCAGGAGCCCTCATCTAAGTCATTCCAAGCTAATAATGTACTTCACTTACTGTGTGTTTTGATTTTTTGAGAAGATGAAAAGAGATACCATGCAACCATCTTAAGTAGTTCTCTTTTGTAACTGCAGTCAGTTCTTCAAATGCTGGTGTGCCAACTAAAATAGCACAATCTTTCCTTCCCTCTTCTTGTTTCCAGTGACAGAAGAGCAAATCGTAAACCAGGTCTGCTCCAGACTGTGTCTCAGTAGGTGTCAGCTATCTGAAAAGGCATGCTCTTCCCTTCCTGTCAGTGTTTCCCTGGTTTCTACTCATCTTGGTTTTGGAATAGAAGAGTGAAATCATTCCACTATTTTTCATCAGGTTCAAATCTACTTAAAAATAGATACAAAAGGGAAAAGAAAATATATATTCTTTGTTGATTTATCTATGAGTACTGGAAAGCAGTTGTATCACTGATGTTTTGAAGGATCACATACCTTCATGGTCAAACAGCACCATCCAACATATGGCAGTAGATGAAGGCTGGTTTTGGCCTCCCATATTCCCTCTGAATCCTTCTAAATCACCCCTGCCAACACAATACAATCCTTGAAGATCATTAACAATACTCAGAAGAGCAAATTCTCACTTATGTAATAGGTTAGGTTGCACCAAAGAGGTATGAAAAATTCCCTGGGGAAAGACCTGCAGATTCTGTTCCTTGACCATCAGCTCTGTTGCCCCTACACAGGATTGATGTTTGATTCGGCACTGCATTAGCAGTACATATGCAAAGTATGTCTCAGGAACAAAACATCACCTCTTCTGAAAAAGATCAGTCTTATAGTTTCATTTTTCAGATGATGTTTCCTTCCAGTTTTGATCAAATGGAAATTACTCCTGGTTAAAATAAGAAACAATTGAATACATTCCCTAACTCATTCTCTTCATTAAAATATATACCTTGGAGCAATAAACATTTTAAGACAGATTTTTGTTGGAAGCATTTTTCTGTAAGGGGCACACAAACATTAAAAACACATAAAAATACTGTATTAATCAGCTGAAGTCCCCTTAGCAGGGTCTGGAGCACACTGTATGTAATTCACAAGTCATTGGTAGAACTCTTATTTTTTCTGACTGCAGTATATATTTCAGGTAAATGTAAACAGAATCAATGTAAAACTTACATCTAAATTTCTCTCTGATTTCCCAAACAAACAGAGAAGGGACTTCCCAATGGAATATATATATATGGACTTCCCCACAAGCATGAAAATATACTTAGAAGTTCTCTAAAGAGAAATAAATAGGAAGAAGCAGATGAGGAATTTCTAGTCTATGTCAGGTAAAATGTTTGCATGCTACAGAAGGAAAAGGTATGCTATTGATCCCAGTATAGTAGCTTTCCTCACATCCTTCAAGGCTCATCTGCTCAGTGTATCAGTCACTCCTGTTATCCTTGGAGATACAGGAGCTGACTTGCCAACAAAGTGGAGAAAAGCCACTTGAAACCTTTTTCTTCCTCAGTGCAGTACAGTCAAACTGTCAAAGAAAACAGTCTTCCCACAGTACATCTCCCAAGAATATATTTTACACTGGAAAGAAGCTAAGGATCTTTTCACTTTGAATAGTGAAGTGAAATTTATCTTTTGCAGGCTTTTTGTTGGGATGTATTTTGTTGGAGCACCGAGGTGCTTTTTAATTACATGTACATATTAGAAATTTTTAATTAATTTGCTCTTCTTCCAATCCACAGCTCATTTTCAACCAGTTTTTAAAAGATCTGCTCTTGGTATTTGGAGAAAATACAAAAGAGAGCCTGTGAGCTGTGCTCACATTATGCAATGATTGACTTAAGTGGGAACTCATGGGACTGAAGGATTTGGCTCAAATATGCAGTAGCTTACAGGAAAGTCCAAGATGTTAGGTGCCAGAAGATTTGGCATATAAGATGTCTAGTTACTAAAGCATCTG